AAAAAATAACCATGCCTGAGACTAGTGTTGACACGGAATATGCGAGTAAGTTCTCCGTTCACTTTGAGACTACTACACATTGTCCATTTAGTGAATCTGATGAGCTTGGGAGGAATACCGATTTCTTTCATTCTCCCAAAAAGTTCTTCTCTCACAAAGGTATCATATGCTGCCTTAAAATCAATAAATAGAATCCACATTTTATTCCCACATTCCCATCTGGAACTCTTCAATTTTTCAAACGTTTGCCTCAGAGGAAAGATCTGGTCAATGGTAGATCTATTTGGTTCAAATCCACCCTGATAATCTCCAAGCTTTCTCTCTACATAATAAAGTAGGTGGTTACAGAGGACTATAGAGTGTATATTTCAAGAGGTAATTAACAAGCTTATTGAAGTTACACTTAGTGGATTCAATTTTTAAAAAATAAGTATAAAAAATCGTTTTTATTGATATTTTTAATTTCAAGCAATGCATGTTTGAAAACTTTTGCTGGCCACTGTGTGAAAAACGAATCCTACACTATAAAACAATGGATAAATGAGAGAAGAAAAAAAATCAAATTAATTTTCTATAGAACAATAATATTGAATTGTTTAGATACGAGGGCTTTGTAAATTATAGAAATAGTTATCATAAAACCTCAAATAGTTATTATTTTCACTACTTTGTTATAAAACAAATCATTTCATCACTTCTTTAAAACTAGCATAATAAGAATAAATTTATTTAGACCTTTCCAAAAAAATGCTGTTAACCATTTGTCATTATGAATTCATAATTGTTCAATCACACAAGAGGTATTATTTGTGTTTGGTTTTATTAATACTCAAAACTAGAACTTTTTTAAAAAATAATAATTTTGATGTATAATTAAAAAAAAATATATATATTTTCTACTTTTTTGTTTGTCATTTCTATATTTTGAGAGGACTAATCTGGATGACCTTTACTAGTAGTAATTGGGTGTGTGCCTGTCAGTGGATGTTGTAAAATATATAAATCATAAAATCTGTGTCAAACAGAAATCTGTTTATTCTAACCTACATAGTTATTTCTGTGGAATTATAAGAATTCTATTCTAAGAAATATTTATAACGATAAATGGATAAAACATAATCATATTAAATGAAAATAAGCTAATTTGTTTTTTATTCAGTAAGAAAATATCATATTTTTACACAAATCTTAAACATAAAATGAAACAAATCCTTAAGTTTTATAGAAGGAAGTTAGTTGATTGTATTACATATCGCAGTATTGCATGTAATACACATGCATTACATATCACTGTATTACATATGGAAGATAAATAATCAGGAAGCATTTTTGAGATTTTTTATTATTGTTGCCAACGTTTAACCCCCAAAAAGTGGCTCATCATCAGGACATGTTTGGATTGAAATATTGGTGACAATAATAAAAAATCTCAAAAATGACTGCTTTCTGATTATTTATCTCCTGTCCTAAAGTGTTTTAGATTAGTATCACTTTACAAACTGATTTTCATAGCCATAGTTATTGAATTATGAGTCCATTTAGCTCAGTATTGTTACCATGAAGTTACTATTCATGTATTCTTTAACCATAAATTTAATAATCTTGTGTGATATGAAAATAAAATTATTTTATCATATTTAATCACCATCTTTTCTTCAAAATCTGTTCTGCCTTTCTTTTCTACAAAAAAGGAAATTATATTACAACTGTATAAAATAAATTGTATTTATCATTTGATACTTATTAGAAACAAACTCAATTTATAACACAAGTAAACATTCTTCATTATTTAAAATAAATAAACTTAAATCTTACATTCACCGTTATGATTTATAACCAACTTCTATATTTTAATAACATTAATTTATTTTGATACATAGTAATTCTGTATTTATTATGTTATAAAGTAATTACAAAGTAGGTCTGATGTATAAATAAAAAAGTTTAAAAATCCATAAAGGTAAACATAATTCAGGAAATAAAAGTTTATTTATACCGACAAACATTGGCAGTGTCAAGAGGGAGTAGAGGAAACTTTCCTTACCTCCTCAACTCTGGCATAACATAAAAGTATCTCCATCCTAATAAAATGTACTATACTATAGTATTAACAAGGCCATGATAAGCTAGGCCCCAGGTGCTAGGGAGATGGGAAGGTCTAGTGGGCTACACATGTTTTCACACATGCTGCCCTGCAACCTGATAAACTAAAGACTACATGTTAGAGTCCCAGTGCCAGGAATTTTTAACTATGGTATTAATCTTCTGCTTACTCCTCTGACCCTGAAATGCCGTGTATTGGCGAAAAGGCTAACACTGCAAATGGCTAACAACATCTTTTTTATTGAAATTATATTTCACTCCTATGCATCAAGCCTCAATTCAAGAAAAATAAAATATGGATGTTACATTAAGTCCACCTTGGAATGTGACCATTAAGTCAGCGCATAGCAATAAATTTATTTAAAAATTCCCTTACTATTAGAAGCTAAAAATGATCTTAAAATGGCCAACAGTGACCAGCAGTATCCAGGAAAACCTGTTCTAAACTATTGGAAAACTTAATAATTTGATACTGAAGAACGTTGTTCTATTTTTTAATAAATAATATTAATGGAATCATTTTAATTTGTTTTTGTTATTTGAGATTTGCATATGCAAAACATATTTAAGGAGCATAAGCAAGTAATTTTATTCAATGAAATTATTTTAATAGCTAATAATATTAAATATTTAAAAACTAAGTAATTCTCTTGAGAGAATACAATCAACATAACATTATGATTTTAGGTTTTTCGAATTTATCAGAAATCTGATTTTCTTTTTTATTGCATTGCATGAGTTATTATTCAGCTGTTCAAAATTATTTTCCAATGAATAATTCAATTTTGATGAAGTTCAGTTTATGCATATATGTTTCACATGTGCTCAACAGCAAATAATTCAGTTAAAAATTATCAAAACTTTAATGGGTAAATCATTAACTTTTAAAAAAAAAATATTTGTATTATAACATCAAATTGTATCTTACCATTAAAAACCTTAGAATAACCTTTGATCAAACTCTTTTCTGGAAAAACATTTATCCAATATCTCCTGCTGTGCCTTTTCCACCTTAAAGTAAAAAAAATATTTCCATCACCTATTTCTATTTGAAACCCCTAAGCTTCTGGTTACTTCCTCAATAGTTCTCCACTTTAATTAATGTTGGGCAGTTTTGGTGGTGTCTTTGGGGATCTCAAGTCTAAACTAAAGTGATTGATAAATTGCTATGTTTGTTTCATCTTCGGGATCCCACAGGACGCCTCTGTCTCCTGTTTTTAAGAAGAATCGAATTGAATTTATCCTTCTTATCCTTAAGTATTTTCTGGCATCCTTTCTCTACCAAGTTAAACAATCCTGCCATCCATCATATGTCTCTGAGCTCCTTCAATTCAAACCCTCTGTCCATTCCTCCAATATGCCCTCATATCTATATACTATGCCCCACCGATCCGCAGCATTCCACAGAACTTTCATTATCCGATCCTCATCCCCATGGAATTCCATCCCCTCTTACATCTGTAATTCCAATAACCTACGCACCTTTAAATCTCGCCAATTCAATCACTTCCTATCTATCCAATACCCAAACAATTGTAAACAGCTTTTTCTGTATATATGTATATAAATTGCTTGATGCTAAATAGCTCATTAATTTGACAAGATAAACCTTTGTTGTACTGAAAAGTTCAATTCAAAAATTCAAGTTTTTTCTACTTGTATGAAACCATCCAAATTTTTTGGGATTGTTCATCGTAATTTTTTTTTTTTAATTCTTAATTTTTTGTATATAAGGTGTGAATGTGTTCATTTATCAATATAATTATTGTCCCTGTGACAGAATATTATATGTCTAAATAAATAAATAAAAAAAAAAAATTCTTAATAAAATATTTTAAGTTTAATGAATGAAAAACTAGGCATAAGAAATTCCGGTTAATAACAAAAAGTGATTAAATAACATCTCATAAAATTAAATCACTAAGAATTTTGATGAATTTTTCTTCTGTGAAAAAAGAACATTTTCCACTTAATGTAATATTTGTTACATAAAAGATTTTGTGTCATTTTCTGTATTTAATGTTTTTGTATTGAAGGTAAAAATTCATATTTACATGAAAAGTAAGTACATGAAAAATGTACTAAGTGGATTTTTCGCAATTAGCCAAAATTTTATTTTTTTGTCTTTTAACAAACAAAAGTAAGAAAGAACAACATATATATATATATATATACAAATATAAACATATAAACATATAAATATACAAAAACAATCAAATATGAGAGTTTGACAAAAAGGTGGAGTTTGTACATATCAAGATTTATAAAAATGATGTCATTCACCTATTATATAATAAAAAAAAGTATACTGTGAATAAAAAATACAATAAAGTAGATAATTATTAAATGAATTTGCTAATGTACAGTTAAAAATCACATCAAATGTTAAATTAAGAAAAAAAAAGTTCTGATATGAAAAACACATTAAAAAATTAAAATAAATAAATACAAATTATTTTCATTAACTACAGTAACTTTATTTATTTAATAATGATATCTGTTATTTTTACTAGCAGTATGAGTTTGAATTCCTAATTGACATTTATAATTAAGTTTCTTAGTTTAATATAAAATTATAATAATTTTTTTAAAAGTCAGCTAACTATAATAAATAATATAATAATAATAAATAAATTTAAAAAGTTAGGGAAGAGATTAAAAGAAATGAATAGCAGATAAAAAATTCCAAAGTTTGAATGATTATGAATTGGGGTTCCATGACAAGAATAACTTGAAAGTGGAAGTGAAGTCAAGGTTAAGACTAATATCTGAATACTTGTCATTAAAATAGCTCACTGACTTGTGTCTGAATATTGGTGCTTACATAACTAATAAATAGGATGGTGGCAGTCAGTGTATGCAGCTGAAGTATTTATGTGCAAATCCTTGATGGTCCTGCAAAAAGATTATTGGAGATCCTCTGCAATTATTGGAGATAAAATAATGTACGTTTATTTAAAAATTCTTTTTGTGATGAAATACCTTATATCATATATTAAAAAATTTATCATTATTATCAAAGATTTCTTTGTTTTTTCTATTGTTAATTGCATTATTGATTTGAATTAAGACATAGTTCGTTAGACTGGCTTCTTAAAAAAACTATTTATTACTTGATATAACAAAACTTGCCATTTAGGATTGTTAATTCTTATTATTGGGTTAACAAGAAATAAGTATAAAAAGTTGAAACTCAAATTGAACTAAAGAGAATTGACTTTTTTGGCTTATTAATAACTGTTTATCACTGGAGGAATTCGTAAGAAGATGAAGTATAGCTTTCCTGGACAAAAATAAATAAAAAAACACAGGTTCAGATGAAGGATAATCTGAGCCAAAGTGGATAGCAGAGAACAGGATTAGTGGAAGATTTGAGATGATTATTTAGATATTGAATTTTATTATGAATTCACTTATCTTTTTTCCTTAAAAATAATCATTTAAAATATGAAAATACATGCATTTTTCAAAAATATATACAAAATCCAATTTGAACTATTGCCTACTAAAAATGTTTAATCAAAATAGTATTTTATTTTGCATGAAGATATATGTATTTTATTCCAGAAGTTAGTTGGAGGTGCAGATGGTAATAAAAAAAAAACAACACATACAAAGAAGAAGTCTTATATTTATGTATGCCCACTTTCAGGCTAAGTTTTAAGCTTTCATCAAGTCTAAGTAAAAACAAGAAAACGACCACGGCTTAGTCTCTAAGGCTTTATTTTTTAACTTTAAAAACACAATCAAGTATAGATAACATTATATATATTGTAAGTATGATAATTACGTCTCATCTTTACATACTATTTTTGTTATATACTTTATAAAGGTTTCTGTTGAATTTTAGTGAGGAATTTAATATTTGAGAGAGTCCAAAAAAATTATACTACGGGCTCTTGCGGTCTTTCCATGGTCCAGTTTAACAGTATACAAATATAGGATAATGATAATGATATATTAAACTCCTCCATACTTCAAATTCCTCCATCATTGTGAAGATTGAGCTAATCTTTAATAAATCCTTTGCAATATTTTTTTAAGAGTATTCACAAAATCTTGCAACTTACTACATTTGTAAAGGTAGTCATTCTTGAATTTTATTTCTTCAGTACTAATTAAAAAACGTTTGTTTTCAAAGAATAAGATTTTGATTCATTCTTTGAGAAAATTTAAGATTATCAGTATATATTTAGAATTCTTGTATTGGTAAATCAGTAAATTCATCATTGTGATATGTCCTTATTTTAAAAATATTACAAAAAAAATTAAGTTTTTTCAAGTCTCGAAAATTCGAAAGATATTACAAGTAAGTACACCTTACATCATGGATGGGGAGAATGAAAATCATGAATTGTTATATTATAAAGAGTGGCAAAGTGCTATTGCTGAAGATTGCTATTTCAATGCAGTTTTGTTGAGTGATATCTTTCAGGAAGTTGAGGATGACGGATGTCTCCGCATCAAAAAAGAAAGTTGATTCATTAATTATGCTTCATATAGCGATTTGCATCCATTTGCTGCAATGCATGATGTGATGATGCAGTAAGCAGTGATTTATTTGATATAATATCTAGATAAAAGGTGTCAGGTCAAGCAATGTAGAAGGGTCATGGAAGTGAAAGTAGGAAATTGGATGATTAGGCCAGGGATTGAAGATGAACACTTCTAGAATTCTGAACTGGTGTCAAAACATTTAAGAATATGACATATATACATAGCATCGTACCTGACATTTAAATACCTTTTATTTATTTATATTTTATGCAATTTGCACCTGCGTGGCTGCGCATCTAGCAATTTTGTTGTGATACCTAAAAAAAAGAAAGAAAAGAAATGTTTATATAGGGCTTTAACGATCAATTCGGACGGTTAGTTACCTACTTACATTTTTGTAACGAGATTTTGTGATAAGTAAAAAATTATCGATATACAAGTGAAGGTAAGTCTAGTTATTATAGAAAGAAAGAATGGAATGAACAACATTTTTAATTTTGGGGCTCAATAATTGCAAAAATTTGTTTTTTCAAAATTGGCGATTATTGAGAAAACTAAATGAGATAACTCCGAAACTAAGTGAGATAGAGTAAAAATGAATATAACTAATATTGTTGAAAATTTTATAATATTTAATTTTGTAAAGAACGTCTTTATCCCTAAGATGCATGGTTTCGTTGATGTAATCGACAAACCGAAAAAAATTACGTTTTGAGCCTCCACCTCCCCTCCCCCACATCCGCCTCTCCTCCCAGGAGTGGGTACTTGTACTATGTTAACCTCCTAAATAGTGTGAAAAATGTGACCAAATCAAAATTGTGCTCCTCCCGTTTCCTCTATACTTCCTTTTTGAGCACTCATTGACTGGACTAAATGGTTTCTAAATACAATTATTTCGACTGAATTTACAAAGAAGACGAAAAGAAGGTGACGACCTTACCAAATTCCTTAGTTATCTTTTGAAAATAATGAAACAGATATATTCCGGCACAACCAGTTGTTTGTTGACCCTAAAAAAAAGTGATAAATTAAAATTAATATCGTGGGATGAAGCGATAATAGATCTGAGTGATAAAGAATGTCACGTGGCATTGGTTATTTATTTGTTCGCCTCACAGCTGGGCTCTCTATAATGTGTAACTGGCGAAGATTAAATAATGAAATGAGCACTTTTATATTTGTCTTTCGCCGTCACATTTCTTATTGTCATTAATATAATAATCTTCTTAAATGCAAAGTATCGTCATTAAAATTTTAAGCCACTCATGGTAAAAGGTTTAAGAGAAAATTAGTTTTGTATTGCAGTCGTAAATTTATTTTTATATATTATTTTTATAAATTTATTTGACGTTTGACTGCATATTTCGAAATTCATTAGGAATTCATTAGGACATATTTATGAAACGACAATTCGGAAATTAATAGAATTAAGTTTATTGAAGGAAGCTAGTCGACTGTTCTACATATGTGTGATAAATAGTCAGGACGCGGTCATTATTAAATTTTTTTATTTATTTGTGCCAACATTTCAACCCAAACATTGGGGTCATCATTAGGGCGTGGTTCGAGCACTGACGTCTCAAGTTAGTACTTAAAAGCCTTCAGTGCTCGAACCACGCCCTGATGATGACCCAAATGTTTGGGTTGAAACGTTGGCACAAATAAATAAAAAAAATTAATAATGACCGCGTCCTGACTGTTTATCATCCAAGAATTAAGTTTAATGTGTATATGTGGGTGTGTGTATTTATTGATTAATAAAAGTAACAATGGTAAAATATAAAGAATTATTGCTGCCTCAATCAGCACTGCTTAACCTTATTGCACTAATGGAACCAGGATTTAAGTTTTGGGGTGAGGGGCTTTAGCCAGAACGATTTTCTTTTTATGAATATATTACGATAATTACTTCGAAAGAAAGAAAAAACTAAGTACCTATATGAAATGGTGTTTAAGTGATTCTTTATGTCATATCAAATGTAATTTGACAAATAATAATACTTTTAGAGGTAACTTTTTTCATAAAACATGGCTATATTTTATCATTTTGGGCGAGCTTCAGCCCTTAGCTCCGCCTGTGCCTTACTATGGCCTCTAATGATAAAAATTTTTCCCACCTGTGGCTTTGTTTCTAGTATCTATTGAAACATTAACTTAGATTAGTCTTAAAAATACTCAAAAATGTTTTGTTTTGTAACTAAGATTAAGTAAGCACTGGAAACAAAACAAACTCTACTCTCTTTTGTTTCCTGAGGGAGATGACTAATTGATGTTTTAGCATGTGCATGTACTCTTACATCTTATTGTATCTTGACTATCTTTTCTAGATGGTTGGATGTGGCATGCCATAATATTGTATATAAAATAAGTATCTTTTTTTTGTTATTTGTATTACCTTTATTATCTTAAATATTTTTCTTCTTATCTTTAATTGTATACAGTAATTATGTTTGAATTCCCTCTTTTTCCTTGTATTTTATTTCTTTTTATCGTACATAGTATTAATTCTGTAAATATTTCTTTTTGTAAATAGATCTATTAACCTTTTTTGCTGCTTTATATGCCCCACGTTGGGCGCCATTATTTATATGACCAAAAAAAAGGATAAAATAAAAAGATAATAAAATAATTTTTAATAAATATAATTTTCCATAGGAACTTTTATTTGTTGGGCGCCTGGCTTTACTAGCCTTCATTTCTAAAGAGATAATTATAGAGAATATATGTTACTTACCCCTGATTTGGCCATGATAAACCATTTATTCTACCATGCTAGCTCAGGTGAGAAGGGTTAGGTTGGATACTTTTTTATAAAGCAGCAAAAAAGGTTAACAGATCTATTTACAAAAAGAAATATTTACAGAATTTATACTATGTACAATAAAAAGAAATAAAATACAAGGAAAAAGAGGGAATTCAAACATAATTACTATATACAATTAAAGATAAAAAGGAAGATAATACAAATAACAAAAAAAGATACTTATTTTATATACAATAGTATGGCCTGCCACATTCAAAAATCTAGAAAAGATAGTCAAGATACAATAAGATGTAAGAGTACATGCACATGCTAAAACATCAATTAGTCATTTCCCTCAAGGAACAAAAGAGAGTAGAGTTTGTTTTGTTTCCAGTGCTTTCTTGATCTTGGTTACAGTTTTTTAATTGGGTTTAAAAACAAATTTTTCCCCACGGCTGCCATAATAAAACGTCAACCGGACAACCAATCGAAAATTTTATGAAGAAATATCTCCAAGAGAGAAAAAAACAAGCAATAGAAAAACCTCCCAGCCTCGGCACAGCTAAGTTTCCCGTTGAAAATTAAGAATTCCGTGTTGATATTCTCATTTCCGTAGCTATTTTGAGAATCATTAATATTAATTCGGTATTCATCTTCTTTTTTCCTTCCTACCCAACCAATAGGCATGGCGGGTATTATCTTAATAAAATATAGGTTTTGTCTGTACATTGAATAGAATCAACCCGTTTCATGATATCTTTCCGTTTCATACATTACAAACACCAAATCCACTTTTAAAAATGTTTTTGTCTGTCTGTATGTCCGCATTATCCAACGAAATTTTGTCAGGGGTAAGCACAGCAACGGCTAATGGTAGACTTTTGAAATTTTGACATTATATTTAGCCTTGCTTGACTTAAAACGTAGGCTTTAAATGAAAACAAAATATTGACTAGGACCAAATTTATGAATTCTTGAGTAATTTGTCTAGAGATCCTGGTTAGGCAGTTACTTACTACCTATCGATTCTCATCTCAACCTACTCTACCGCGAGCCACATTTAAAAGTTGTACTGTTCAACTGATGGAAAAAATTATACACAACCCATTGGGAAAAATCCGAAACACCGAACATCTGTAATGCTTAAAACACTGGTAAAGCACAGCCATTTTTCAAATTTGTCCGATCGTCCCGCTCAAGGTGTCATTCGATTCAACTTCCCGAGCCTAACAAATGTTGTCGTATACATTTTTAGAATTAACCAAACGGATTAGCAAAAACTCGGAAGAAAAAAATCCCAAAAATTTCATCCCGCCCGCCACAATATTCAGATAAAGTTCTACTTTTACACGGATGTAGGTGACTCGACTCAATGTCCAATGTTATTTTGGTTATTTTGTCAGCGATAAAGTCAGCAGAGTTTAAAGAAGTGGTGAGACTACAACTCTTTTTGATTATTTCGATTTACTCCACAATCTCGTCGCTTCATTACAAATAAAAATTAAACATTTGAAACATTTTAATGGATCGGCGGTGGTCGGTTTAGTTGTGTGGTATCTAAACAAATAACCGAATAACAAAGTTTTGATATGACCAACGCGAAAACTGGACATAAGCCCTTCATAAAAAAATTCAAAACAACCCTCCCTCACCCAATTTTATAAAATTAAATTAGGATCCTCTCTCCCTCATAATACAAAATTCTTTTCAAAAAAAGATGCTCAAATTTTAACTATACACCCGGCAACGACGGGTACATCAGCTAGTCTTTCATAAACAAATAAAGAAATAGAACATTACATTTTAAAAATATATTTAAAAAATTTCCAGGCTAAGCTGATTTGGGCGGCTTTGGAATGTCATTCTTCGCCTTGGACCGGACCGTAGTGCAGAAGAGGTGTTGCTGACTCTTGCTTCTCGAAGGGCAGCCCCTGAGAAGAACGCTGTAGTCGACGGGGGGCGGCCTGCTGAGGTAGTAGCAATTGGGCCCGAGCTCAGTCCGGGGGCCGTGTATGACCCAGGATAGCTGTAGCCCGCGCTTCCTCGACACCAGGAAGGCTCCCAACAGGGGTATCAAGGATATGCCCGTCAGCACCACCGATGAGAATACTCCAGGGCACAACTGTTGCGGAAGAAAAGGTAGATAACAAATTAGATATCGGACCAGAAGGGTACCTTGAAGCATAATTAATAATTAAAATTAAAATCTGTTGTTTTTTGTCAAAATATAGTATAAGTATGCAATGACTAGTTTAGAAGACATTATGCAATAGAGAAATAGTTGGGTTACATTAACTGTGGATAAAAATAAAAACGTTTCTGAAGTCAAAAAATTATTGTTTTACCAACGTAATTGTCTTCTTGTTAGGGGTGCCTACTCCCCCCTCCCTCCCACCATCCCCCCATAAGGTGCAACGGGACTTTCAGTGGTCTGTTCTTTGCTTTCATGTTTTCCCCAGGTTTGAAACGTTCATTTCTAATTTATAATCTTGTGAAAATGTGCCCCATCAAAAAATTTGATGGCGCAACTTGCGCCATAAAACCTCTTTCTGGACATCCCTGCTTCTTGTAATTTCAAAATAATAATAGGAGATGCCCAAGGCGGTGTTGGATCCAGGATTTGATTTGGGAGGATACATTTTTTTTTTTATTAATTGTAATTAAAGGAATAATAATGCCTTTAGGGATAATTTTTTCTTGACACAAGCCTTACATTTAGTAACTGAAGTACATGTGTTTTAGTTTAAAACAAGAACATATTGTGATTATTTAAGAATTTGCTCACATGAGTAAATATTAGCCGGCTAGTTATATATTTTACCTTTGTAATTTAGTAACTTAAATTTTAAATACTCGCTTTTATACAGTAGCGGATCCAGGATTTAATTTTGGGGGGCTTCAGCCAGAAAGATTTTTTTTTTTTTATATATGCATACCGTGTCGATGGGGCAACTTTGGGAAAGCGGGTATAATTTAGTTTGTGGTGATTTCGTGGTGGATACTTTGTGTAGACATTACAGTGGCTTAATAATATTATTAAGCCACTGTAGTAGCCATGTACTGCGCTGCTCCCTTGCAGCAGTTTGAGAACCCTGGTTCACTACACCACGGGCGGATCTACGGGGGGAGCTTTCGGGCTGAACCCCTCCAAAATGGGAAAATAATATCATGTTTAATCGAAAAAAATATCTCTCGAAGTATTATTGTTCCTGTAATTACATTTAAAAGGGCTTTAGGAATCACTTAAACACCACTTCATATAGGTAATTAGTTTCTCTCTTTTTTCCCAGAGTAATTATCGTTATTTTTATGAAAAAAAAAGCTTTCGGGCTGAAGCCCCCCCCAAAATTAAATCCTGGATCCGCTAGTGCACTACATTCGTTGTGCAGTTAGGTTTTATTTGTTTCCATTGTTTTTTTTTCAAAATTCTTCTTTTTCACAAAACTCTCCCTTGTGCCTCAAGAGTAGTGTGCCGGAAGGTAATAGCGCAGTGCATGCGCTGTCCATGCAGACTAAACCACAGTATTTCCACCACGGAATCATCACAAACTAGATTTTACCCACTGTTCCAAAGTTACCCATCCAGTCCCAAAGTTACCCCATCTTACGGTATGTATAAAGATAATTACTTTGGAACACAAAGGAAGAAGCTAACTATCTTATTGAAATAGTGTTTAAGTGATTCTGGAAGTCCTATTAAATGTAATTACACGAACAATAATACTTTTAGAGATTTTTTTTCTCATAAGACATGGCTTATTTTACCATTTTTTGGCGGGAGAAGCCCGAAAGCCTCCCCTCTCCTCCCCCGTAGATCCGCCTGTGCTATTATATATAGTACACACACTGACTACACACTCCATGTAATTTCTTATCTACATGTGTACATGTGTACTTACTTTTGATTATTATTTTGTTTCTATTTATTTTATTTTATTTTTAAACATATAGTGTGAATGTCATCCTACCTCACTATAACTAATGTCCAAGAGACAGATTGTTGTAATACTCAATATAGAAATAAAAAAAAAAAACATGTGTATTCCTTGTTTTTTTTAAACTATTTTATTTGTATAAAATTAATTCATACGTCTTTATTTTTTATTTTCAGCATTTTTTAATTTTTTGTTATCTGGTTTCAACCCATGATTAATTTTATAGTGTCCTTCTCATTTTTATGTAATTTCACTAAAGTATGAAGAAATTCTTCAAACGATGGTTCATCATTAGATTTAATAAATTAACGAAGATATAGCGCGCCGAAAATAAATTACATAAGTAAAATATAATGCAAAGAATTGGCCGAATAGGTGTGAAGGACTGAGGCTTTTCTCATAGATTACCAGAGTAAACTTTACTATTTCTTAAATAGTTAAAGCACGTAAGCAAATACTACTGTTATCTCATTGATTAATAAATATTATCCTATACGTACCCAGCCTTATACTGGAAGAGTGTAGTAGAGATTTTGACATATAAAACTAAAAGAAGAGTTTCAAACGTAAAATAGGGGTGGGTACTATGGATGGGATGGTATTTCTAATGGGTGTAACACAATTATTATATTACATTCTTTAGTAATTCCTAATTAATTATGTATATTTTCTATATGTATATAAATTTTTAGTAAAAAATTGAGCAGTTTCATGTACAATGTAAGAAGAAAAGAATGTAGGGTTCGGAAGAGCATTTGCGTGTATTGGTGAAGTGGATTTCGGATTTCAGTTGGAGTCGGAAGGAGAGTAATGAGATTAAATAATATAATGTATGAAGGAATGAAGGAAGCATAAGTCGGTTAAAAGGGAATAGCCAACTCTGGTATTTCAGGAGTCCCTGAAGATGAATTGTTATATAATGTAAAATTATATATACACTAGGGGATTACCTTCTGACCGCCTAGCGGCGGACCAACCCCCAATTTACAGATTATAGAACTCTTCAACTTTTCATTTAATTGTACGACTCGCTCAAATTTTATAATTGCAATTTACATGTATTCTGTAGTTCAGTTTGTATTAATTTTATGAAAAAAATAAACTGGACGAAACCACAGTTCGGACAAATTTTTAATTTCTTTAAAAATCTGTGTTATACATCGCGCCTTATTATCAATTTATATTATTATATAATTACGATTATTCTTATTGCCAATTTGTAACCATAATATATATTCAACTTGTCCAGCTTCATAAGAGCCCAACATCAATTTGAGCCTTTTATTTCAAACATTTTCATTGTACGCTATATTGTGCTTCCTTTTCTATTTCATAATAATTATAATTATATCACAATATGATATAAAATATATTATATATAATATAATAAATAATTAATATAACTTATTTCATACAAATTACTGGTCTAAAATCTTTATATTGCATTAGGAGTATGGGAGCTTAAAGGAGCTGAGTACTGCAACCAAGATACCAAGGTGTAAATCTCTATTTTGTATTTGGATAGTAGGAGGTTACAGGAGTTCAACACATTAGTAATTAAATGAACAGCTGTATAATTAGTGTTGATTATAGAGTTAATAAGAGGTCCTATAATTTCCTAATCTCCTAATACTAAAATAATAATAGAGAGATATACATTTCACACTAACCGATGTGAGTTGAACTGTTTCGTAGGGAATAATAGGAGTGATATCTGGAGCTTCATCAGTACGATTCCATTCGCCAATAGAATCGTTATTCGGTCTGGAGATAACGGGTCTTATGGTAAATATCTTATCTGGAGGTACTGGATCAAACAAATCAAGTCCAAAAGTGTCTGAGTATCTAACCGCTGTTTGGAGAGAAACAACAGTATCTGTTGATTGTATATATTTAATGTAAATAGGGTTCGATAAGGTTCCTATCGGAACCTTTTGTCAACAGTAGCTCTGGGAACGAGGATTGTAATTATTTACTAAGTAAAGTAATTACCAATATTTCAATGATTCATTAATAAGTTGTATATTTTTTAATTTCACTATTGCGATAGTGAAAATTTTTGAATCTGAGTTTTCAAAGGAAATACACGTTTTGAGGTCCTCTGGGTCCAAATAACCAAGTTTCGCAAAATGGTCTGTGTGTATGTGAGTAGCCTAGCTCAAAAACGAAAAGTTGTACGAAACTTAAATTGCGTATTCAAGGTTATAATATAGTTCCGATGTGGCAGCAACTTTTTCGTTAAAATCGGCTGATCGAGAGTGCCATTTTATATCAACGCTAAAACACATTTTTACAATCTTCTTTGAAACAGCTTTAACGATTTTGATTAAACTCGGCGTATCATTATATAATGAAGTGGTCTTTAAGATCATTTAGGTATTATCCCCATTGATGTCACTTTACAGAGTTTAAATGCCCTGTGTTCATATAAGTTTTCATCTAAAGTATCTTTAATATGGATTATTTTAAAAAAAATTACTCTCTTTTATTGACTGTAATTATAAGAAATGGCTAAATATGAAGTTTGAAAGAATATGATAATTGGAAACTGGAAAAAAAAAATAAAAATGTTTATCCAAGTTGAAAATGAATCTCCGGAAATAACAGTCGGAATGTATATGCATAATATATCGTTGGAGAGCGGAGAATTTGGAAAAATTAATATCAAAGAAATAGTTGCCCCTTGCGAATAATTCGCATAGCCATTGTACAAATAGCAATATGGAATTAAGTAATTGTAATGTATTCTTGAATACACCTAAGTTGAAAATAATCCATTTTCTATGATTTGTTTCCTTTTTGTATCGAATTCGGAAATCATTCTTATTACGGTGGATATAATCTGTCTCCCCTAGTAATGATAAAAACACTACAAATTTCCTGGAATTTATTTAATTATAATGACCCGAAATCGTCTAACAGATCTCTCCTCGAGAATGTAAAGCGAAAATAAGGATACAGAAAATAAAGATTTCAAAATTATACAATCAGCGTTTCCTAAGTACCCCACAACTATTCTCCTGCTTTTACACTTTTAATAGATTTTTAGTTTGTCATAGATCATAATAAATAGTAATATTTCAGCTTTTAAAAACCTAAACAAATTGTGATAAGAGGCTTAGGACAAAAATCTGGTGCGCACAACTTTCGCTTACTGCTCTACTTTGGATTGAAACTATTTTCTGCCAATGTCGGGATATTATAAAATTTTTGAAGTGCATTTTAAACAGAGATAAAGCTTATATCTTACAGATTACAAATCATTAAGACCACTAAAATAACAAAAAGTCTATTTAATACATCGACGGTAGGCAATAAAAATCAAGTTACCATATGCATTTATAAACCACACAACTCCAGTTTCTGAGCTTTTCAGTTCACAGAATGAACAACTCCAATTTTAAAATTTTTGAATAATGTC